GCGTCTGCTGCCTTCCTTAGCGTAAGAGTGTCTCACACTTACGCTAAGGACACTCTTACGCTGAGGAAGGCAGCAGGCGCTGCCGAAAATTTTGTTTAATAAATGTGTATGTCTCAAACTCAGCGTACGAGTCTACCCTTGAATCCACCACTGGGGTCTATAACACTTCGGCCCCACCATGGTTGGGGCTGAGGTAAGAAAATTTATGATTATGGCACCTCTAGATGGCCGGAAATGGCACTCGCAGACTTAAACGAGAATAGATGTAATTCTAGCAAAACCTATAGAAAGAGAGAAGATGAGTTTTGTACGGAGCGCGTTATTGACACACCAGCGGCGGGGGAAACACTCAAATTTCTCAAAAAGCTTATAAATAAAGTTAAAAGTCAAATTAGAGGCAGTTCTAGTTGAAACACTGTAAGTTTTGGTTGATAGATTTTGTTTAGATGTTGACCTTTGGCGATTTTTTCAGGTACCCGTGTACTGACTGTTAGTTCCGTTGGTTTGAAAAAAGCAAATCTCTGCGTCTAGGGGTTACCAAAATATCTGTGTACTTTCATTCATGAGAAAGACAAAATACAGTACGCCTTGTGGCTTAGGTGCAAGTTGCGTTTATAAAAAAGGAAAGGAAGACATCAAAATGCAGCTAATTTTTTCAAATTAATATTTTTTCCTTATAATTGGAAATTTGCATATTCAAAATTAATTTACATGTACGGGGACACGTGGCCAAGTTGTAATTTATGAATTTCATCAATTAGTTATCCGCCCTATAAGTGTCTATTTAAAAGAAAGAAAAAACATTTGTTTCCAATTTGTTCCATTATGCTATTCTAAAATGTGTATGTCTCAAACTCTGCCTTCATCAGCGTACGAGTCTACCCTTGAATCCACCACTGGGGTCTATAACACCTCGGCCCCACCATGGTTGGGGCTGAGGTAAGAAAATTTATGATTATGGCACCTCTAGATGGCCGGAAATGGCACTCGCAGACTTAAACGAGAATAGATATAATTCTAGCAAAACCTATAGAAAGAGAGAAGATGAGTTTTGTACGGAGCGCGTTATTGACAAACCAGCGGCGGGGGAAACACTCAAATTTCTCAAAAAGCTTATAAATAAAGTTAAAAGTCAAATTAGAGGCAGTTCTAGTTGAAACACTGTGAGTTTTGGTTGATAGATTTTGTTTAGATGTTGACCTTTGGCGATTTTTTCAGGTACCCGTGTACTGACTGTTAGTTCCGTTGGTTTGAAAAAAGCAAATCTCTGCGTCTAGGAGTTACCAAAATATCTGTGTACTTTCATTCATGAGAAAGACAAAATACAGTACGCCTTGTGGCTTAGGTGCAAGTTGCGTTTATAAAAAAGGAAAGGAAGACATCAAAATGCAGCTAATTTTTTCAAATTAATATTTTTTCCTTATAATTGGAAATTTGCATATTCAAAATTAATTTACATGTACGGGGACACGTGGCCAAGTTGTAATTTATGAATTTCATCAATTAGTTATCCGCCCTATAAGTGTCTATTTAAAAGAAAGAAAAAACATTTGTTTCCAATTTGTTCCATTATGCTATTCTAAACACTAAGCCATATTTTAGACCATAAATAATGAGTTTTAACTCCCAAAATTTATGAAGTTGGACTTTATGGTCAATTGATTAGAGCTAGTAACACCATAGAGGATATGGATGGCTTGTAACACAGTGACTATAATACAGGGAGATGTGCATGTTATTTGATTCTTGATGTTCGAGTCTTTTTTATTAGTACAGAATTTATTTGACGTCTAAAATATAATTAATGCGACAATAATTCGGCTTCGTGAGTTCGATTGTCTTCAGACTGTAGCGAATTTGGTCTTAGAGTAAGGCTCCCAACCTGAGTTATAAATTATTAAAAATGAACGTCCCGGCCTTGAATTTTAAAGCACTTAAACGCTTGTTGTGTACGTATGCAGGATCAGAAAGCAGCTGTAGGACTTGTGGCCTTCAAACAATTAGATTTTTTTAAACAGGTGATTTTTTCTTTTTATTTTCTTTTTTTTTATATAATCGATACCGAACAATAATTTTGTTGACTATTAAATGCTGACATTGAACTAGCTATTGTAACTAACTCAATATATTATACAGAGACTAGTTCAGAATTATTAAATTTTCTTTACTGCGTGGTAAGTCATGGTTGTGTTTTATGTTTGTTTGTTTGTTGTTCAAACACAGGTATATTTCATTAAAATATTTCCCATAAAAATCATCCTTGTTTATGAATTTGTTCATAATGACCATATTCAATATTTCGTTTTTTATTATTAAGAAATTTTAATGATGCTTAAAGAAACGAAATATGGTAATAAATCAATATCTATTCGCTCAGTATGATTAGAGACGTAGTGGTAATAATCACTAGACCATATGGTTCTCACAGAGTATTTTGTGTTGGTTAAGTCTGGAGGGCCTGGGTAAAATAAAATTCGATTGCAAGAGTAACGCTAGAACACTTTATTATGTAATATTATGCTATTTTAATTGTAATTTTTAATAATTTTCAGTTATTTACATATTTATAGTAATTATAGCAATATTAATTATAATCATTGCAATAATAATAATAATAATAATATTTTTATAACTTGTGATTTTATAGTATTGATTATATTTTTGACGTTTATTGCAATTTTCGCCTGTAAGTGGGAACGAAGAGTTCCTGTTGGACGATTGTTACAAAATAAATAAACAAACAAACAGACAAACAAACAATTCCGAGCATTTAAAGGTGATACACCAACAACCATGCTGAGGTTGGTTTGCATCCTTCGTAGGCATAAACGCTCACCATCCCCGGTGGAGATGTGAAAAACCATGCAAAGATTGTTCAAGTTTCAAACATACGATAATTTAAACGTTTTTTTGGCATAAAGTAAGTTAGACTTCTGATTTGATCAGCATCTGATAGACATAATTTACTAATTAAAACTAAAAAGTCACCAAAATTATATTCTGTGTTTCTTCCTCAAATGTCTTGACTAAAAATCAATGTTAAAAAATAAAGATCATTAAAGTATTTAATGTTTGGTATTATACACAACATAGCATGTACGTTACGCTTTATATCTGAAGTGTTTTTTATTCATATTATCATTTCAGTTATTTACATATTTATAGTAATTATAGCAATATTAATTATAATCATTGCAATAATAATAATAATAATAATAATAATAATAATAATAATATTTTTATAACTTGTGATTTTATAGTATTGATTATATTTTTGATGTTTATTGCAATTTTCGCCTGTAAGTGGGAACGAAGAGTTCCTGTTGGACGATTGTTACAAAATAAATAAACAAACAAACAGACAAACAAACAATTCCGAGCATTTAAAGGTGATACACCAACAACCAAGCTGAGGTTGGTTTGCATCCTTCGTAGGCATAAACGCTCACCATCCCCGGCGGAGATGTGAAAAACCTGCAAAGATTGTTCAAGTTTCAAACATATGATAATTTAAACGTTTTTTTGGCATAAAGTAAGTTAGACTTCTGATGATTTGATCAGCATCTGATAGACATTATTTACTAATTAAAACTAAAAAGTCACCAAAATTATATTCTGTGTTTCTTCCTCAAATGTCTTGACTAAAAATCAATGTTAAAAAATAAAGATCATTAAAGTATTTAATGTTTGGTATTATACACAACATAGCATGTACGTTACGTTTTATATCTGAAGTGTTTTTTTTATTCATATTACCCTCAAATGACCTACCGTATAGGCCTAAAAAATCATTTTTATTTAATAAATATGCTCGTAGGTATATTTAGCTTCAGTCCATTTGGAAAATACACACACATTTTATTCTACAGAATTCAGAAAAAAATATTAATTTCGAAGAAACTACTATTCTATATTCAGTTATAAACGTTTCAATTCACTACCGTATATACACACTAATGATTATGATTGCAATCAATAACATAGCATAAATACCGTAATTATTTAAAAAAAACCACTACTGACAACATAATGAAAATACACATTCAAAAGACGTCAATTAGATAAAATACAAGAAAAAACACCAAAAATATGTAAAATGCCCATAAAGATTAAAGAACAATTTGAATGAATGTTTTTCATAATGTGAATATTTTAATTGTATTTATTACACATAGAAGTTGAGTTTAGCGTTTAAATGGAGGAGTAAATTTAATATGTTTTTCAAAGTTGTGGTTAGGTACCGGGGTATGTCACAAAATAACGTTAATACAACATTTGTTTTGGAATTATGTTCTATATACGTATAATTATGGTTCTATACAAATAGGATTAGGTTACCTATACACCAAACTGTAACGTAATTGTAACGATCAACGTAAAATTGCTAGCCAGTTTACTTCCATATGTTATGTAAAAATTACAAAGGTCTTGGATTATATTTGAAAAAGTATCTGTTGTCCATGTACTCAGATTCGTTCCCTGAATAAATTATATTGTGTTCTACTGTCTAACTCAACGTTTCCGCATCATACATACATACATCTGATTTATCACCAATTATATTATCAATATGTTATATATACACATCTAGATGTGTATAAGAGACAGATATGATAGATTGGACACTATGCTACCACTGGAAAATCTGATTTGTCACCAATTATATTATCAATATGTTTGTTGATCAACTACCCGGATTCGTTTAGTAAGTGATTGACCGATTGGTTGTTTAGTTGACTGGTACACACTGATTGATCAATTAATAAATGTATGGCACTGTTTTGAATTTGTTTGTGTAGAGGTTCACACCGGTAGAAATTGTTTTCTTTTCTGTGTGCTCCTTGGTCACTTCTTTTGTATAATCATTATTATTCTTGCATTATTTCCAAATGAATGTTGAATTGAATTGAATTGAAACTTTATTTGTGAATAGTAACATAACAGTGTAAAGGCCTGTTATTGTCCGATTGAACGTTCAGCTATGTGTAACGAGCTCGTTCGCGTTTTAACGCGTTTCGAACTCATTGCGATTTTCAAACCTATCGTAAATTGGAATTGCGTTTTGCTTGTTTTGAGTGACGGAACGGCTTTGATGAGTGTTTCCCATCAACTTGATTTAAATATGGTAAGGTTATTTTGACATCTGTTTTACTTTCAAATAGTTTGGCTATTATGTCGTCCAATTGCTTATGCTATAGCAGATTGTAGCAAGTCATCTGTTACGTGATATTAGAACACTGCCTGCCAATGTCATCAAAGCAAGGGGTGGGTCTCTTTACGTTAATGGGTTTTGAATAGACTGCTCCTGCCGCTCCTCTAACTGCCTATAACTTGTCAATCAATGAACTAGGCCATGGGCCTAGGCCTAGCTAGTGTCCTTGTCCCATACTCATAGGCTAACATACGAAACCGTATTAGCGCCGGGCCTAAGCCTATGCATAAACCATTAGACTTCACTAAATCATATGTAGGCTTATATATATAGGCCTATCGTCACTGTTTTCACGAAGACTACTACTACTGGACTACGGGACTACTTTACAAATCCGTAAATTTCACTATCAAAACTTGATCAAGATAACAAAAATTTGAATATTTTTTACTAATGTTTTAAGATAAAGCATTAAACAATTCAAATGTTCAATTTATTTTTCTTTTCATAACTTTAATTAACCTGTTAATTAGTGTGAAAAGTTTGTGTTTGCGAAAACGATCAGAATATACACAGCATATTTAATTTATGTTTTCGCCGTGGCTAGAGATACGGTACCGTATCTGAACTTCCGATTGCTAGAGTTACGGTAAATGATATTACGTCATGATTAGCCAATAGAAACGCTGATACATGCGTGACGTCATTCAGTGCACTGCTGCTGCAAGAGTAATGAGTGTGTGTTTTAGCAATGATCGAAGATTCATTCGTTCGCGGGTGTTGTTGATAAGCTGTGATTAATATTCTGTAGCCTGAGGCCCTATAGCAAATAAAAAGGATAGCAGTTTTGATCGCGACGTCAACTTTGCAAAAAGCCAAAATCGAGTCGGTCATTTCTATTGGCTAATCATGACGTAATATCATTTACCGTACCTTTAGCATTCGGAAGTTCCGATACGGTACCGTATCTCTAGCCACGGCGTTATGTTTTTTACACATAGAGTGAAGTTTGTCTGTACATGCTTCGTTGTTAAGACACTCAAACTTGCACAAGCTGTATTTTCGCCGATGTTTAACCATTGTAACAATGTAGTCAAAGGCGAAAACAGGCTTACAAACATGGCTTATCCTGCTATCATCATTTTTTTACTAATAATTCCACATTTGATACTCATGTAACTGTAGTAGACCTATTCCAAGTTATACTGCAAGAAGGGTACCGCTATGCCTAGGTAAGCTAGGGAAATCTAATCTTTATGCACTTGTCAATTGTAGTCCCTCCCCCCTCAGGCCAAGTTTGGAAAAGTGCGTATGATTGATCATAAAAAAAGAAAATTGACTGATTGATCTGCTTGATAGAATTTATTCAGTATCAAAACAGAAATTAAATAAGAAAATTAATAAAGTAGTAGAAACAGATCATTGCCTTGGCTCACTACTGGTGTATTTTTTGACGCAAACTAGGTCAAATACACAGTTCACGCAACACATGTCACCTCGCCCCCCCCCCCCCATCGTTGTGTGGTGGAGGTTGAAATTTTATGTAATTTAATACTGTGATCTATAAAAAATGAAACCATGATGGTAGGCCTGAAGTACCTGAAGAATGCCTAGGTAGGACCAGACCATTTGACAGCACTACATCTGAAACCCCGGCACTCCAACGTGTAAAATTCCCGGCCCTTTCGATGCCGGTTACATCAACGGGTGAAATTGTACACAACTATGTGTACAATTGACAAGTGCATTAATACAGTACATCCACAATTAGTGGTTAAACCAAGCTAGCCCAGACCTAGTGATCACAACGTTTGCAACGCCGCATGCACGTCTTTTAGTAACCCAATGAAAGTTTGTGTCTGTTCGTTGAAAACAAAAAATCTGTTTTTCTCGGTTTGTGCGCTACTGCTTATTAGCGTAATTATAGCTAAATAGTGTAGTTGCACTTTTAAAAATTAGGTGAAAAGTGAAAGTTTGATGTACATAATCAAAATGTCAAAAGAAAAAAAATTGAAAAAATATGATTTTTGAAGTTGGTGCCTCTTTGTGATGTCGGTGACGATACTGTAAGTGTGTATATATTATATATATTAAACAATAAATAATATTATAAACTATGACGTGACTAGGGATACAGTACTGTACCATATCTTTTCTTCCGTTTGTTAAGTGCACGGTAATTTGCATCATCCAATAAAATGCTGCCAAACGTGTGATGTTATTGTTCATAAAGACTTGTCAATCTGCTCGCTGAATGCAGAGAAAGTTGGTGAAGTAACATTTAGTACTTTGTCTTGAATATGAATTAAGCCTTCTATTGCAGTATCCTGTGTCGTGGTCTTACAAAAATGCATTACTGTTCAACAAAAAGACCAATTAAAGGCAATCTTCACATGTTCCATAATTGAGTTATTTTATTAGTGATTGTTAATGTTAGTAGCTTAGTCACTTAAAGAAACATTATTGTATATTACATAACAACTATACTGTACAATAGCCAAGACAGTAAATAACAATGTTTTTTCCCTTTTGAATAATATTTGATTTTTGATTTATCCAGATGTGAAAGTATAGCTCCAAGTAGGGAGTTGTTATTAAACTCCCTGCTCAAAAAAAAAAACTACATGCCATAATAATAAATGTCAAACTATTGAATCCCAACACATATCAGGAAAAGGTATTTAAATTAATTATACCATCCTTTCTCATACGAAAACTAATTTATGCATTGTCATTATAACAGTCCCGAAAAACGGTATTATTTCTAGGGGTTAGAAGCTTATACAGGCCTATATTTAAAATTGCCACTCTTTACAATCTGACCAACATATTCATACACTTTGAATGCACATGCATAACCGATAACTCCTTTGATTTACCCAACTTTGTGTAGACTTCGTCGCTGTTACTTCCACCAATCGTCAACATCGTTCGTTCGGCCAGAATTCAGATCGAGAAAATGAGTTTCCACAGTCGTGATTATAGTGTCAATTTTCTCAAATATATTTTCATGCAGGCCCATTTAAACAGTAAAGTGCTAGTAATCCTATAAGAATCCTTAGTTTACAGTATATTCAGGTGTTTAGTGCATGTGTCAGGCGCGGATCCAAGGGGGATCCGCGCAAGTCCGCAAGTTGGCCACCTGGCCTGGGTCCAAAAAAAAAAGAAAAAAGAAACTTTAAAAAAAAAAAAAAAAATTGATCGTCCAAAAGGCCTCAGAGGTTATTTTCGGCCGTCTAGAATACAGAAATTTTTTTATTGGGTCCACATTTTAAAAATGGGTCCAGATTTCTCTTGCGTAATAGGTCAATTTTTAAGAAAATGGGTCCAGATTATTCATATTTTTGCGTAAAATGGGGCAAAATGGGTCCACATTACTTATGCGTAAAGTGAGTCCACCATGATATTGTCCCACACAGTTTTGAAAATCCTCGCTACGGCATTGCCCTGTACAGTGTTGTCATGAAATAGATTAGACCAAGCAAACTCCGCAAACCCTGCAAGCCTCCAAAAACACAGTGCAAACCCCATCCAAACCTTGTGATAATGATTGAATCACATAGTATAAGACTCAACTTGGTATCTCAATAAAAAAAATCTTAATTTTATGTTCGTTACAACCTATTTTTGGGGTAAAAATGCCATTTTTTTGTATTAAAACATTGCTAAACCCCGCAAACCCCTCAAAACACAGTGCAAACCCCATCCAAACCCTGTGATAATGATTGAATCACATAGTATAAGACTCAACTTGGTATCTCAATAAAAAAAATCTTAATTTTATGTTTGTCACAACCTATTTTTGGGGTAAAAAGGTCATTTTTTGTATTAAAAAAATGTTAAACCACGCAAACCCCCCAAAACACCGCAAACCCCATCCAAACCCTGTGATAATGATTGAATCACATAGTATAGGACTCAAATTGGTATCTTAAAACAAATCATAATTTTATGTTCGTCACAACCTCCAAAAATCGGTTGTGACGAACATAAAATTATGATTTGTTTTATTGAGATACCAAGTTGAGTCCTATACTATGTGATTCAATCATTATCACAGGGTATAGACGGGGTTTGCACTGTGTTTTTTGAGGTTTGCGGGGTTTAGCAATGTTTTTAATCAAAAAATGGCATTTTTACCCAAAAAGTAGGTTGTTACAAACGGAACATGTGACTTTTTTTTTTACTGAGATACCAAGTTAGTCCTATACTACATGATTCAATCACTATCACAGGGTTTGGATGGGGTTTGCACTATGTTTTGGAGGGTTTGCGGGATTTAGCAATTGTTTTATACAAAAAATGGCCTTTTTACCGAAAAAAAAGGTTGTGACAAACAAAAATTTTTTTTTATTGAGATACCAAGTTAAGTCCTATACTTGCTGCCACAAGGAAGCAAGCTCACGATGTTGTCACGCTAGTGGCGGCATTTTATCGGATAATTGCAATTTACCGTACATTTAGCAAACGGAAGTTAAGATACGGTACCGTACAGTACATGTAAATCTAGCCACGGCATATAAACTAGGCCTGCTGTAGGCTAGCTAGTTAGGCTACAGTACCTACCCTCTCTCTAGGCCACCGTTCCGCAGCATGTATGTGTCCCAAAAAAATTGATGGGTCACCTAATCTCTTCAGATCATGAAAACTTTACTTACGAAGACAAGCAAAATTAAATTACAGTAAATGAAAGTGCAATTTAAGTGTGACATGAGCATCAGTTTACTTTTGTTATGTGTGCGTTATCACAGTTTCATGTTAAAAATACTGTATACTATCAAAAGACTTTAGGTATGACAACTTCAAAGTGTTAGTTGTGTTCAATTTGTTCAGCTGCAAATTATGAGAAAACATTTTTAAATTTAATGTGTCTGTGTCTTCGCTTACAGTAACCCATAAATCTCTGGCAGCAATAGGAATTTATAATAAAATGTCTGTAGATTATTAATTTTTAAAAATTTGATAACTTACATGGTTTTGTTAAATGAGTAATTCAAAGTTTTATGTTCATTTTTATGGGTTTTACATAGTTATTTTTGTGTGTGATAATATCTTTTAATCAATTCACAAAAGAATCAAGTGGGTGGTTTTTCCCACTATCCCTCGCACATGCTGTATTGACTTCGAGTTTGATGGGTCGCGTCTCAGGGCTTGACATATAATTTAGGTTGTGAGCTAAAAAGGTTGAGGAAATATGGCTCTTGGGCCTAGGCCAGACCTAAAAACTGCTTTGAACTTCTGTATCAATTCAGTACTTAACAAACAACATCACAAATTGGTATAAAAATTGCAATAAATTGAATATACCACAAACCACACAGCTTGGCAGACACATATCTGATCTAAAAATACTATGTTTATGATACAGTACTAATAATAGGCTACTTTGCAAATGTACAACCAAGGTTGAAAACATGAGTCATACCATATTCATAATCTAGCTTAGGCCTGTGGATAAGATAAAATAATATTGTACCCTACTGTGTGTCAGGTGTACCTACTCAATTTTTAAAAAACATATGTTGTTTGTAAATAATGTGTGTGTATAGATATGATATACATTGACAAACATGAGAAAAGAAAGGCCTAGTACTGTATTTTAAATGTAGACCTCTGTTGTTACTTTCTACAGAACACTAGTGAATTACTAAAGAGCTTACCTTCCTTCAATGAGAGGAACTTTACTAGATTCCACTGTGATGCAGGTAAAACATCGGTGAGTAGAGCATGAACCAAACACTAAATAATTTGCAAATGATTACGCTAATTATTTGTTGTTGAACGATTATTGTTCAGAAGATTGTCAAAACGACAAATACTGTCTTTTGTACCAGTAGAACTGCAATCTGTTTTATTATACTGTATAATAATTCATCATCGTCATCATTATCATCATCATCATCATCATCATCATTGGATTTATACCAAAACTTAATGTTGTTTTTTTTTGCTTCCTAAACTTTTTTTTTCAAATATAGTGCATATACTATAAATGTATTCTAATAAGAGCAAACTTTTTGGGAGAGTTTGTTAGGAAGTTGGTTTTTGGATTTAGTCATATAAAGTCTTCAACTATTGCTACTAGGTAACACTATAAATTATACTGTAACTACCTTCAACAGTACAAAATGACCAGAGAGGAATTTTGAAATCAGAAAATGTTTTTTTTTAAATTATGAAACACATTAGTTTATAATGGATAAACTAAGATGGAGATGTGGTGCGTCAACAAGGTAAATTCAAGCTTAAAATGAAGATGGCTTAACCAATAGGAATAGATTCAATGGGAGAAGGCTTTTTTTTTATCATGCATTGACTACTAGCGATCATCACTTACAAAGGAATGGCCTTCATCAGTTGAAAGACTTCACCACAGAGATGACTTGTCCACAGTGCATTGTCGGACTACTGGGAGATGGTTTAATGAGATAGTAGGAGATGAATTAACCACTAGAGATACCTTGATCATTTAAAGGGACTTGACTACTGGAGATGGCTTCATCACAGTGGGGAGATGGAAAAAGTCAGTGGCAGTAGAGGATGGTTTGATCACAATGGTTGTGCATTGACTACTGGGAGATGGTTTTACCACTTATTAGAATAATGGGTGTTATTGGTTGGGCAAGAGATTGACAGTGTTGGAAGCTCTTGACTGCCGAAGCACGTATCACATATGGCAGTTAAACACGAAAAAGAATAATGGTTTCACCAAAGACTTGTTCACATAAAGGGAATATGGCTTGAATAAATGGGTGACTTGATACCTGAGCTTTTGAATAAGTCTGTAGTTTTTGAGTTTACATTGGGTTTGTAACATTTTTTTTTTCAGAGTAAGAAACCAACTGTGTACCTTCCAACCAAAGATTACCCCTCTGAGCAAGGTAAGTCAAAGAATTTTTAAACTATATTATTTATATAGCATAATGTAATTTCTGGGCTTTGTATTTACATGTAAGCCATACAGTATATTATGGTTATATTTCTGTATAATATTTCAATGAATTTGTGCCTTTGCTTTACTTAATTTCAGTGACAATTTTCATAATCTAATTAATAGTAGATTAATTCCCTATTTGCTTAAGTTTTTTTTTGGTATCGTTTAATGTTTAAATGTTTTAATAGTGGATTTATATTTTTAATTGTAAATATAAGCATATGTTAATGTTTTTTTTTTGTTTGTTCTGGTGAATTTCAAAAGTTTCCAATTTTTTTTGTTTATTTTGTTTCTGTGTTGTGCTTTTTCTTGTATTGATATTTGAAAATTTGTTTACAGATATTTGAAATTTTGTTTACAGAATTACCAATAAAGAACATTTGAATTTGAATATTGAAACTTTATTCTATTTGCTTTGTAAATGAAAATATATGTTTGTGATTTCTTTCCTCTCAGTAATAACAACGGAAAAGACAAATATTTTGCTTCGATACCTGCATCAGCAATGGGATAAAAAGGTTGGCTGTTTTGTAATGTTTGGTGCCCTGTATAGTATTTGTTAATATAGATACAGTTTCTGTTTAGCTACAGTAACTTGAACAATACTATTCAATATTTGAATTGTTCATTCTAAGTTCATTGTATTCAGTTGAAAAAATGAAAAAATAGCAGATGCATTTACAGTATTATTGTATTCTGTTCCTTATAATATTCTCTGCATATACTTTTTTACATTATTTAAAACTTATTTGTTTCATATCAACTATAGAATTGTATACAATAAAGCATCAGTTGAACATGCTCAAATTATAGTCATTCAATGTTATAAAATGTTGCAACAACAGTGAAACCTATCTTGCCATTCCTTATTCATTACATGGGGATGTACTTATGTTATAATGCCAGTGCCTGAAACTAGTTACTTTTAAAGATGAATTAGTATAAAAATAAAAAGCAGTCATAGGTACTTGAAATTTTCTCCACTGATCAAATGATGTATTCATCATTATCATACATCAGCATTTAAAGAAGTGCTATGTATAGTTGCCATTGTACCTTAAACACCACTCTCATAATTGTTGTCACTTTATGTAAAGCCTCTTTTTTTATTACAGAATATTCAAAAGAAGCGTGATACAAGTAACGCTAACCTAGAAACAGATTCATCACCAGCAAGAAAAGTACCTCGAGTGGAATCAAACCAGGACACCAGTAATAGATAGTGCACTTTATATACTGTATTAGAACCATTGTTAAGGTACCAGTGTATTTAAGTCTTTTGGCTTTCCTCAATTTAACACCCATGGAAGAAAGCATAATTTGCATAATATTGGTGCTTGTGAGCCAGAGAGGATAAGTCATTTATTTATCAATATCAAGAACACTAACAGAATAAATATATAAATTACATAGTGGTCCGATTCCTAGCTCTTTTTTTTTTTTGTTCTTGAAAATTTTAGTAATGTTTAAAAGATTTTTGTTTGAAGTTTAAATATTCCAAGTTATATATTTGTGTTTATTATTGATGGTGACTGATTTATTTCACAATGCGTTCAATCTTTCAAATTCTATTTGCAAAATATAAGTAGTTTAATACTAATTACCTCAAAATAAAGATCAACAAAAACTAGAATATAATATATAATAAAATGTATGAAAATTGAGCATTAAAACTAATAATCCTTGGACAATGCCTCAATTATTAAATTATTGTATGAGCTACTATTACATCAAGATTCCAGTCCAGAGAAAAAATCGTGAAAAATGGGTTCAGTGGTAAAGAATAGGACCGTTCACATAAAATTTGTACGATTTCTAATCCGGACTCCAGATCTGGACCGATGGATCTGAGAGCCATTTGTATCCTGAAATCGTATGGTTTACTTCTTGGACCAATCAGCAACAAGCTTGGTTGGTTCGAACCGATCGAACGCATACATATTTAACGTGAACAAACGTGTTCCGTGCGCGATGTGAACGCAGCATTAAAAAAACGTAGCAACTCACGATTTTTTGTCCGGGCTTGATATGAACGTAGCTTAAATCACTGATACAATGTGAATTCCTGAGTTAAACATATAAAAGCCCTGAAAAACAATAAACACTAATTTGTAAAGCATTCCTCTTTATCATTTGAATAGTAATCAAATTCATTTCATCTTTAAATATGAAATGAGAAACCAGTTTACAGTGAAATGTTATTTTGGCTTGAAGTTCCTGTCACTATAAATAAATAAATAAGACTCTAATTAAATATTAAACACAAAAGATTTTCTAATATTCCCAAACATTGTGAAAGTTGTGGTTTGTTTATAAGCCAGAGGATAATGCTTACACAACATTGCAGCAAAATTAGCAATGTTATTTAGTTAGAATGTATAAAATCTATAATTACACATCTATGGTTCTACAATTTACATGTAGGTTATTTATTTAAATAATAGAGCCTAATAAAGTAGATTTTTCTCATTAATAATACTTTGGTATCTATATTTACTTCAAACAAAGAAGGGAGAAAATTAAAGGTTTTCTTTACAGTTGCTCTACATAATGTTGGATTTGGGTAGTGTCCTGCAGTGGCTTCACTCACAGAAAGGTGAACCTATTTTTCTTCAGGATTTGTGAGACAATCAAAATATGGTAGTTTGTGCCGTGCTGTATTTATACTGTAGCTGTGAATGCCATGTGTTGAGCTTTATCCACGCTATCATATCAAATGCATACAAGATTAAGTCCTATTTATTGTCATATTCAAAGAAAATCAAACTTGTTTTCAAGGTTCAAAAATTTGCCAAATAAATAAATAAAAATGTTATAGATTTGCCCATACTGTATGTGGGTCTAGTGTGGCATCACAATGTCTGTATGGGTAAATAAAAGATATTTCTTCTAAAAAATTTGGATAATGTTAACATACAGTAGCATAGTCATGCAGCATGAAATTAAAATGATAGATTGGATATGACCTTGGATGGTCTTAAATGTTCTGTCCTACCTTCTCTTAAAGTGCTAACTTTGTTTACTATGTCCTTATACATCAAGAAAATGTTATGCTAATGATGATGAATATAAAATAATGATTTTGGGAAACTAATTCATGAGAATAATATGATACCCATTTTTTCTTGTATAAGAAGCTAAAATTAGGTATAAATAATCAATGATAGGTGTGTGTTTGTGGAAAAGTGATTTCTATTTTAGAGCATGTTGGTAATTTGTGTTTGTACAATACAAATCTGACAATTTGATTTATTAACCTTTACTTTCATTTTAACTACAATATGTGGAATTGTGGGCAATTGTCACTAATTTTGTTTTATTTAATGATGTATCGCATGCTATATAAATATATTACATCATTAGTATGTTATGTGTTGATGTATTGCATACTACACTTTTTTTTTTTTTATAAGAACCAGTAAAATTTTGCCCAGGCTCAGTGTTCTTATTTTTTGGCTGATTTCAGGCTCAAAATGTTCTTAATTTGTTCTTATTTTACACTTTTCAAACATAGAAAATTATTATTGTACAGCAAAAACCGGCCCTGAAAAAAATGCCCTGGAAAAATTGCCCCAGAAAAAAGGCCTGGTAAAAATGGCCCCAAATGACAGTACACCTGATTATAGGGGGTATTACATAGTCACACTTACATTACTGTACATAAGGTACAGATATAATTTTTTTGTTTTTCAGAAACCTCATTTGACATTTTACCTCATCCTCAATTTGTTCTTATTTTGTTCTTAATTTTTAAGCAATTTCAGCCTCAGTGTTATTATAAAATGTGTTCTTATAAAATAAAAAAAAGTGTATATAAATATGTGTACATGCATTAGTATGTTTAAAGCTCAATTCAGTGCTCATTTCAATGTATTCAATCTTCAGAATATAAGATTTTTCTTTATTCAGGAATATAGCAACTCCCTGCTTTTATTTTCCTGGATGTTACCATTCCAGAATTCAAATGTTAGAAGGGTCAAAATTGTTTTGAACCTGATTCACACAGAATGCATACTAATAGAATACTGACTTCCTCCAAAATCCCTGTTGGCTTTAAACAAATTAATTTAAAAAAATATTGTTTAAATTTGGTATCAGATGTTCGCAATGGTACAGTTGATACCAGGATGTATGCAATGGTACAATTGATACCAGGATGTATGCAATGGTACAATTGATACCAGGATGTATGAAGTAGTACAATTGATACCAGGATGTATGCAGTGGTACAATAGATACCAGGATGTATGCAATGGTACAATTGATACCAGGCTGTACGCAATGGTGCAATTAATACCAGGATGTATGCAATGGTACAATTGATACCAGGGTGTATGCAATAGTGCAATTGATACCAGGATGTATGCAATGGTACAATTGATACCAGGATGTATGCAATGGTACAATTGATACCAGAATGTATGCATTAGTACAATTGATACCAGGATGTATGCAATGGTACAATTGATACCAGGCTGTATGCAATGGTGCAATTAATACCAGGATGTATGCAATGGTACAATAGATACCAGGATGTATGCAATGGTACAATTGATACCAGGATTTATGCAATGGTGCAATTGATACCAGGATGTATGCAATGGTACAATTGATACCAGGATGTATGCAATGGTACAATTGATACCAGAATGTATGCCTTAGTACAATTGATACCAGGATGTATTCAATGGTACAATTGTTCCTCTAGTATGCTTCCTGTGTAATATGCTCTTGTGAATTAAGTTTTAACATTTCGTTAAAAAAAATGTGTCATTGTTTGATATGCCTAGTACCGCTGTATCATTTTCTGCTCCAATCAGGCATGGTGACAATTTTAAGCATGCATGTGGCCATTTTGTAGGATAATGTATGCAAATGCTTGACTAGTTACTACACTAATATTCTTACAATAAATGTATAATTCACTCTCAGTTGGGTGTGTATAGATGTAGCCTACTTTGCCTGCCATCATAGCCAATTTTATGATCAAGAGCTTATGATGTGTACCACTTACAGATAGTAAACATTGCTTTCTAGAAATTTTACTTTCTACTTCTACATTATTTTATACTCAGAGTATTTCTTTTAATTTTCTGAAAACATTTGTGTTTATGTACCACTAGATGGCTGGGCTTATTCTGTTCTTTACACTGCTGCAAAATGGTGCAGTCTTTTTGGTTCTTATCTTGATGAGCCTTATTGGTGTACACTATTTTTGTTGGTAGGTTTTTTTTTTCGTTTCATGTATTCACAATGTATTCTTATATCAAGGTTACTTTATGTTAAAATCATTAATAAGTACACATTTATTAGTATTTATTGAAGAATGGAGCACAGTGTTTATTCGTAATCCTAAGTGCTACTGTGTTACTCAGCGTACAGCAATTAGGTACTTTACAGTATTATACCCTATACCACTTTAAGACTTATCATAGTGTCAGGTGTAAAGTTAAGCCAGATCCACTGCCAGACGACCTTTACTGTTAATATTTGTCATAGAATGTTAACCTGTGCATCTTGCATGTGTGAACTTCCCTTGGCTTGGCCAATATTTCACCAAACTGGTGTACTGTATTCATGTGTTTTCTATATTTCCATTGATATTATGTTCCTTTGAATGAACTAGAAAAGAGTGTTTGCATTTGTCTTTTTCTTTTCCCGTAAGAACAGCATACTAAAGATATTAAGATGTTTTATGAGCTTGTAAATATGTAAAGATAATAAAACATGGCTGTTAAATACTATGCGTGACATTGGAAAATAAAGCATTATGAAATTATATTTAAATGTTTTGTTCTTATTGTCTTTGTCCGCATAAAAAAGATTAAGGCGGATTGTTATAAGTGGCCTATATTGATATATAGCGGGAAAAGAAGTGAAAAGAGTGGAAAGTTTTGAGTTTTTATTATTGCAGAAAACACTAACCTGTGTCATAATTTATAGCTAAATATTGATTTCTCAAAAGTAATCACTTCAAAAAAAAAAGTATATGACTAGTGTGATGAAAACAAATTAACTGTTGAAGTATTTAAGAAGAACCCCCTTATCAAGGGACATCTGGACCCCACTTGAACCCCCTGTCGGGGAATTTCCAGCAAGATCGTCGGGGAAAAATCAAATCTCGAGCACCGAAAGTACAGTTCGTGCTACCGTATGTGCAAGGAGTTGTATACTATTGCGATCGTATGGGTTGCAGTGTCGGTGCCGATGGGGTTAGTACCTCCGACAGAGGTACTAATAACTTATATGGTTTTCTATCAAATTATCAAAAAATTTATTTAAATTCCGACAAGTTATTTTTTCCCCGACCAGCGTAACTGGAGTAGGCATAATATAGGCCTATAATCTCTTGAACATTTGTATTGCGGATGTTTGCTGCTTTATTGAATCACGTTTCACCAGGGGTTCTTTTTAAAACTGCAGTAGAAAAGGACACCTTTGGGACTAAAGAAAGTGTTCTCTTAATCATAGGCAATAGATAGGGGTTTCCCCTGTATAGGGGTAACCACAATGTTGGGGCAGGGGAACATTTATGGGAGGGAACGTTCCTCCTGTTTTGCCGCATCTTTTATTTTTTCAACAGTGAAAATACAAAATGGCATATAAATACAGCATATTCTGAACATGAATCTTACCATTATTAGATACATATTTATCTGTATAATAATAATAATAATAATAATCCTCTAGGTCTATATAAAATTGGTGCTCCCTCGTTTAAAAAAGTCTGGATCCTCCCTGTGTGGGATGGTGCCGTGAAAACTTTGTTGATAGGCCTACACGAAATCATTCATCCAAATCACTTATACGAGATTTACACATTCTACTCCCGAAGATGCAGTGCTCTACAAAATACTTTAAAGCCGCTACAGTTGAATAATTTGTTGAAATTTTTGTCAAGAATGATCCATTTGACATTGTTACAAACTGCAGGGTGCAAACACTGATTTTAGCTGAGCAAGAACCATCTTGACCATCATTTTTTGATAGAGACAGCTGGTGGTTTCGAGGTGCTCCAGTAGCGATACAGTAGTTCCCCTGTCTTCGGTTTTGTTCTGGTGTGCAAAGATGATATTGGATTGAAAAGAAA